TTTTTTTGGAGTTTTTTTTTTAAATTTTTTTTTTTTTTTAAATTTTTATTTGAAGTGGGAACGGAGTCGGTGGCTTAAGTTGGGGTTTGGTTTTCCTCTCTCAACAGTTGAACAACACATGGCGGGGGGAAAGCAGCACAGAGGGCCTTTCCAGGGGGTCCGCGTGAAGAACTCGGTGAAGGAGCTCCTGCTGCACTTCAGGAGCAGCAAACAGATGTCCTCGGGCTCTGCCGCGGAGGAAGGCAAGGTAACCAGCATTTTTCAGCACTGACATAATTGCTTTTAGTGGTTGCTGAAGTTGGTGTAAAAAAAAAAAAAAAAAAAGCAAGCATGTGATAATGCTAGAAACAAGCTTGCTGCTTTATCTGATGTGGATGGAGTCAGTGTTCTTCCTTTTCAGTACGTAATGGAAGAAGCGAGCGAGAAGGCTTGCTGCGGGGAAAAGGAAACCCTTAAAAAATGTTCTTACTAAGCTTTATTTTCTAAGCTGGTTTTGGATAAAGATAGGCCTGTGTTGTGAAAGGACAGAAACTCCCTGTTAGCTCCAGTGAGGTCATTCATTGTAAGGGCTGGGGAGTCTTCTTGGGAAGAGAATTGGTTGTCATGCTGGTGCGCTCTGTGGGGAGCACGCTGTATGAAGGCAGACACCTCCAGTCTAAAAGACAGAAATAGAAAAAATTACAAGAAATTCTGGGGAGGTTAAAAGAACTCGTGTTTTGGTTTTTTCTGTTAGACTAGTCTTTCTGAGTGTGTGTTTGCGAGCTTTCTAAATAGGTGTCGTCACGGGAAAATTTTTGCCTAGGAAAGTTCACGGCATTGAAGAAGTACAAAATTGGCTGGCTTATTTACATTTTAAAAAAAAAAAGTCCTCAGACCTCAGTAGGGAACAGTGTCTTTCTCTAGATTTTCTTGAGTTTTGTGGTATTGTAACAAATAGCTTAAAAAGCCTTAAGAAAAATGGTGGTTTTCATTTAAGTTCCATAAGTCTTTCCGTTTTCTAACCTTAATTAAAAGCAATTAAATTAGGGTTAGACAATCATGTACTAGAATTATTCTAAGGTATAGTCTGTGTTTATAGACGCAAGTCTCCGCTTCTTTCTTCTTGGTTTTATTTTGGGTTTTTTTTTCTGAAATAATGTTATACTAATGGAGCAATTGGATTTTTTTTTCAAAAGGCACAAGGAGGATTGGTGAACTACGAGCAGTACACAGGTAAAACCCCCTTTTTTTAAACAATAAGATTTTATCTGCAATAAGATTTTAGAAGTTGATTCTAAGAGTAACCTCCAAATGGATTCTAAGCTAGTTTTCTTTTCAGCAGAGCTGAAGAGCATACTAGGTCACAGTGGCAAAAGAAAGGCTCCTGAGCTGCTTTCTGATGGACCGTCCTTCAAACGCCAAGCTAATGTTCACCCACACCTCCTGGTAAGTAATTTTTCTGTACTTTTTTTTTTCCAGTTTGCTTTATATAGTCAGAAACTGCCAGACACAGTAGTACCTCCTAACTTTCTGGGGCTTCTTTTGATTTCTTTTTTTTTTTTTTCCTGACCTCTGACAGACACCACCCCAAACGCCAACTTCTATGGATAACATGGAGGAGACTCATAAAACTGACCCAAAGCATGACAGCAATTCTGATCTGCTTCAGAACATTATAAACATCAAGAATGAGTCGAGCCCTGTTTCTCTGAGCACGGTGCAGGTTAGCTGGTTGCACTCTGTCTCCAGTCACAGCTCGCCCGGTGAGCAGTACCAGGACAGCCTGGGAGCACAGGCTTTCTCCCCGTCTCAGAAATACCAAGCCTTCCAAGATCACACCTCCCAGCATATGCTTGATCCGGTGCAGCATTGCCAATTCCCTACATCCCAGAACCAGGATTTGTCGCAGAGCTATCCTTCAGATGCCTCCCTGGAGTACAGGCCATTTGCTGCCAATGACCAGTCTCCTGGCTACCAGCAGAATACCTTTGAGAGCCATGAACTGCAGTACTGCCCGTCGCAGAGCTTCTCCTCCCTCTTGAATGACTCCGAAGGCTCAGAGGGCATCTCTGTTCCCCTCCAGCCGCTGACCAGTGCCCACCCACAGGCTGATGTTGGTCCCCATGCTCCAAACTTCAGCTTGCTTTCCAATAACCTCTGTAGTAGTCTGGAGCGTAGTGTCTCTTTGGCTACTTTGAATGTGTCTCTACCTGACCAAAATGTTGCCAGAAGCACGACGCAACTGGGCAAGTCGTTTTTTCAATGGCAAGTGGAGCAGGAGGAAAACAAACTGGCTAACATCTCTCAAGACCAGTTCCTTGCAAAAGACTCAGATGGAGACACGTGAGTGCTGTTTATCTCAGTGCTTCTGATGTTGGAAGGTTGGGGAATGTTTCTGTCTGGGTTTTGGTGGACCATGGGGCTGTAATGGCTTGCTCATTAGCAGTGTTTCTGTCACGAGTGCAGTAGTTTCGATAATCAAATGAAACATGTAGTCTTGCTGGTGGGCTGTGGTGTGCAGAGTTGCTGCGCGCCCAGTAGATAAGGTGTTGGTATAGTCTAATTTCAGGTTACTTATCGTTAGACTTTTATCTAGTAAATGAGGAGAAAAAGAATGTAGATGCTTTAAATTGCCCTGGGAAGAAGGTGCTCGTGTTCCTATCTCAGTCACCCAGAGGAGGTCTGAAGCTGACAGCATTAACACTGCTCTCATACGTTTGGGTCTCTGTAACGACTTGAGCCTCGGTTTTATTACGGTGGTGTAACTCTGTGTTTCCCCTCTTCCCTGCAGCTTCCTTCACATCGCGGTTGCCCAGGGCCGGCGAGCGCTCTCCTATGTCCTTGCAAGAAAGATGGCTGCCCTGCACATGCTGGATATTAAAGAGCACAATGGCCAGGTGAGGTTCTCAGAGTCTTTGCACCTGTTTGGTGCACCTGAGTGCTTCTGCATGTCTGGACCTTGAGGAAGATATGGTGAAATGCTTATTTAATATTAACCCTGAGGTTTACCCTGCATACTAATATTAACCTTGAGCTATTAATACTTCTTGGAATCACCTTGAGCTGGTAAAACTACGTCCTCTGCTTCATTTGTCCAGGCTTCCTGGTATTCATAATCGCTGCTTAAATAATAGCAGGTAGCTAAGCTTTTTGTTTGTTTTAGTTGCTTTTTCCTGTTAAAGATCAGATGACTAATAGCTTAAATTTTCTTGTCAATGTTTGCAGAGTGCTTTCCAGGTTGCTGTGGCGGCCAATCAGCATCTCATTGTGCAGGACTTGGTTAGCTTGGGGGCTCAAGTCAACACCACAGACTGCTGGGGGAGAACGCCGTTGCATGTTTGTGCCGAGAAGGGGCATGCCCAGGTCCTTCAGGTAAGAACCAGGCAGGTGTAGCTCTGCCCTGACCGTTAACGCTGGTACTTCGTATTGGTTGTCTTGGGAAACTCTGAAGACACCGCTCCTCCCTTTATCCTTTTTCTCTGCGTAGCCTTGCGAGTATGTCTCGGGGCTCTGCAGTCATGGCTTAAAGTGAGACTGAATTCCACATTAAGGTTCTTGCCAATGGTTGGGAGTAATTTGGTGGAATCCTCTAGTCTATGAAAACAATAAATAAGTCTCTGCTTTATGCCATTATTTATTGCAACTTTGTTGCAGTAAGGCTGTATACAAGCTTGGGGAAGCAATATGCGGTTTGGATAAGACCCGAATGCATACCTGTTCCCACTTTTGTAGGCCATCCAAAAGGGAGCCATGGGAAGCAATCAGTATGTGGACCTTGAGGCAACAAACTATGATGGTGAGTAGTTAAGAGTTTATAATTTACAGACTCACTGGATGTTACAATGTTTTATGGCTGCTGATGTGGATGTTATCCTGGGTTGAGGAGGAATGAAATGGAGTACATCTTTGCCAGGTTAAAAATTACAGTTGCAATTGAAATTGCATTACAATGGGCATATCTGTCAGATAAAAACATGGTTAGTCTGTGCCTGTCAGGACCTCTTCCCTCTTGCATGTGATTGCCATGTTTGGCATGGAGCGTGTAGGTAGTAATAGGCTATTGTTAAAAACGTGTGAGTGCCAGCAATACATTGGTGGATATGGAAGCCAGAATCTCTGACACCAGAGAGCTGTTTTAATTGAACCACTTTCCCTATAATAGCTATTTTAAAGTACATTTTGTAAATGTATCAGAAACTGATTCTTTTATTATGGGCTGGCTGAGAGCTCACAGTAGGTTTCTACTTAACTCTACTGGTGATGGACAACCCAAATCCCGAGCCATTGAAGAGCAATTGGTGTCACTTACAAATGTAGAACCCTCCCTGGGCTTGACAGGGAGAGGAACTCCTTTATCTGCCCTTCAAACCAAGCAGCCAGTCAATACATCTGTATTGGATTTGTTCATTAACAATGATTTTTTTTTAATGTTAAGGTTTGACAGCATTGCACTGTGCTGTTCTGGCCCATAACGCTGTGCTGCATGAACTGCAAAACAGTCAGCCACCTCACTCCCCTGAGGTCCAGGAGCTTCTGCTGAGAAACAAGAGCCTGGTAGAAACCATTAAGACTCTGATACAAATGGGAGCCTCTGTTGAAGCAAAAGTAAGTACAGCAGCTTTGTCTGAAGTGCCAGATCCAGATAGAATGTGGAAGCAGAACATGTCCCTTTTCCATGCCGCATCCTGGCTTTATTACAAAGGAAGTAGACTAATTTGAAAGCTTCCCTACAGCTTAATTTACCCAAGGGGAATGAGAATCTTGTATTTATTCAGAACAAGGTACTATCAATATGAATGAACCATGGGGAAAGGGGGAGGTGACAGTCTAATTTCTGGATGAAGGATGATGCTATGCTGGTTGTGTCTTAAAAGTGAGAATATGTCTGGAGTGCTCTGAGGTATCTGTAGTAATAGGGTGCTGAGGATGCCTTGCTCTTGACTATGAATTTTAACTAAGAGCTGTTTCCCTGTCCCGCTTAGGTCTGTGCTGGGCTGGATCATTACTTGGTGTAACACTTGATATTTTGGCTCTGTAATCCTGCTGCCAAATGAGATCTGGTCCATTGTTCATTAGATTTTCACATTAGAATATATACTCAGATTGACTTTTGGTAAATTGTAGTGCAAATATGTTTGACGCTCTGCAGTTACTCTTTCTGTTTTATTTGTCTGTATGTTCACCCTGGAGAGGTGAAGCACCTTTAGGGAAGGCTAACAGTTTCTTTTTCTGATAGGATCGCAAGAGTGGTCGCTCAGCTTTACATTTGGCAGCAGAAGAAGCGAACCTGGAGCTCATTCGTCTCTTTTTGGAGCTGCCCAACTGTCTCTCTTTTGTTAATGCAAAGGTATGATGATTTTTCCGGAACATAGATATAATCTGGGATGTGCATGTGTGGCATCGTGAGTGTCCCGAGGCTCGTGCCCCTGCCTTTCCTTCATGGTTACATTGTCTTCTCCAGGCTTACAACGGCAACACAGCACTCCACGTGGCTGCCAGCCTGCAGTATCGGGTGAGCCAGCTGGATGCTGTGCGCCTGCTGATGCGAAAGGGAGCTGATCCAAGTGCCAGAAACTTGGAGAATGAGCAGCCAGTTCATCTGGTTCCTGATGGCCTTGTAGGAGAACAGGTAAAAAAAAAAAAAAACAAAACAAAAAAAAACCACCCCACCAAACCACCCCCTCCTCTGCTCCCATCTGTCCCCATCTACACAAAAGCCTTATTCCTCTCCAAAAGTTTCTTTTGGGTTTTGAGTCACAGTTGTAAGAAAAAGATTAAGCAAATGCTGTTTTATTCAGGGATCTCTGGTTTTAATGTCAGGATCAGGCAGAATATATGAAGACCTGAAATTATAGGTTTCACTTGTAGCTTTTATTTTGTCTGCCTCAAAAGCTTTTTACCGTCAAGCTAGGTTTTTCCTTTGTAACCTTGCAATGTACTGGAGGTAATATCCCTTCTCTTGTTCATCTTGGTGTGGCCTGAAGTCCTGCTTTTGTTGCCGTTGTCGTAATTCGTAATGGCAGTTCTTAGGCCTGAATAGCAGGTGAAGAAAATCCCCTTTTCCTAGGATCTATACAAATACATGATGAAAAAGGTGACTCGACCTAAGCAGCTAATATCTTAAGGAACCGAGTAATTCGGTTGTCTTTCATTGGTTCAAATGCCATAAAACTGCATCAGTTATGGTGTAATGGAACTCAGAACCGAGGCTCAGATAAATGAGGAATGCAGAACTGGGTCTAGGTTTTTTTTTCAGATTATGGCTCACTTCAGGATGATGAATACTAATGTTTTGTCTTTTTCTCTCTTCTCTAGATAAGACGTATCCTAAAAGGGAAGGCGATTCAGCAGAGAGTGTCGCCGTTTTAAGCTCCATGTTTCTTGGAGTTCAGCAACTCACACTCACTGTCAGTCAGGCAGTCCTAATGTATCTGTAAATAGACCATTTGCCCGGTGTGGGCAAATGTTAGTTGTTTCTATGAAACAAAAGTATTTTGTTCACTATTGTATAGTGGGTTATATAAGAGTAAAAAAAAAAAAAAGAAAACAAAACACCAAGGCCCAACAATCAAACTGCTCTGAGCAAATGGGAGTGTTTCATTCCCAAGTATGTGGAACATTTGCCTGGATACCTGGATTTCATACCTATGTCAAGACTGACTTTATTTAAACAGCCATACAGATAACTTCTGGGCAAGGACAGTTCTACAGGAAATCTTTTTATCTAGAGAGGGCTGATACATGTCAACATTGCAGAGTTGTTTTTGTTGTGTTTATTAAAAACACTTAAATATTAAGTCCAAGAGAAATCAAATATTTTTGAAGTTGAATGTTTATTTATGTAACTTTGGAGCTTTCTTCCAGTGTCTTGTGCAGGATTGTATATAGTCACTGGTGGTATTGTACAGCTGTATAGTTCTAAGAATCTATTGATTGCTTGGAGAATGAACTGAAGAAACAAGTTCCTTGATCCTGAACTTGCCGATTGCATATAGAGTTTTACGACTGTACTGGTGCAAATTGAGTAAATTTTGTTGTTTTGGAAGACTGAAAGTACAGCTAAGATAGATTGTCCCTAGCACTGGTTTGTGCATGCTTTTGGAGTTGTTAATAAAACATGAAAGCCATGCTTCTTCAGGGGACTGTATCTTTTTTCTTGTACCCAGAAGAGGTTTTTGTTTTGATGGGACAATAGATTGAGGGAGAAAGATCATGACTTTTATAGTGTATATAACTTTGTTGTACTTTAAGGAATATGATCCTGATTCAGTGAAAGTATTTAGCATGTACTTAACTGTTGATGCATGCTGAAATCTCACCGTGTTAATTATAATACTTCAATATGCGTCAGCTCCACTAGTGTCAGTAGGACTTAAGCACATGCATAAGTAGCTTGCTGAATTGATCTCTAGTTAATTCTAGAGACTTAGTGGTTTTCACCTCCTAAGCAGAGTTAGTCCATTTACAGTTTTACCTTATAGGTATAGTGGCTAGCCAAGTAATATTTGAAGTTAATGTTTTTCTATGTTTTAATAATTATGGGTATTAATGCAAAATGTATACTAATGAAGCTGTATACTTGTGTTCTGTTGGAGAAAACTTCTTCCTATTGCTTGCTGAACTGGGCTGTAATCCAGTAATGTGTTCTCTGTTTGGTCTTTGCTCTTAAACTGTTTTTGCATCACACACAATTTTCTGCCATAACTGTTTAATTAGTCTGTGCTGTTTTGACAAAGTATGTCTTGTAGACAAGTGAAGTGAAAAGATCTGATACGTGGAGGCCTAGTTGCAATGTATTTCTTGAAGGGTCTCATGTAACTTGTGTTTGAATAAACATGCTAATTAAATTTTGGTGGTTACTGTCTGTGATACAAATAATGATGATGAAATCAAGCTGAGATAAAACTGATTTAGCATGCTAATACTGTGAGACTGGGGGAGGTCTGTTTGTTAAGGATGAAATGAAGTCTTTCCATCCTGCTGTTAGGCTTTTTCTTGTTTGATGCTGGTGCTTGGGTGTTTTGGGTCATGCACTGTGCAGTTGTATTGCCTGGGTATTTAGTAGATGTGCCCCAAGTAAGAGTTAATAGTCAACAGGTTGTCCAAATTGCAGGTTGTTACTGAGCACTTGTCCCTGTGTACTTGAAAGAATGATAGCAGTTCTGACAGTGTTGTTTTCCCTGTGACTTCCTTGCCTTGGTCCTCAATTTTAACAGCTTGGGTGCAAGCAATCACCTTGGCACAGGTGAAAAGTTGGCATGAGCCAGTGAGGCTATGCACATGGGGAAAGGCTCTCCTTGCTTCACAAATAAAAAGATGGGCTCTGGGCTGGCCATGACCTTTCAGGAAGAACTGTCCTCACAGGCTGTCCTTGAAGAGCACTGAGCTGGGGAGGTGGCAAGGGTCAATAAAAGCCAGATGGAGCATAAGGATCAGTAGAAAAGGAACTGAAGAAAAGCAAGAGTGCTCCTATGCCACTGTGTAACCCTGTTATCTTCCCCTGCTGTGTGTGGTATGGGTGTCCCCTCAGGTGAAAGTGTTTTAGGATTGGAAGGGGCCCAGAGGTGCAGAGGAGCTTCCCTGTGGGGAGCAACAGAGCAGATGAAGGCTCTTGGGCTGCAAAAGCAATGGCTGACAGCTGGTAGGGCAGGCCTGTGGGGTTGTGTCAGGCCAGGGAAACTGGATGGGGGTGAACTGCTCACTGTCCCTTCCGGTGTGAAAGCTGGAGGCTGTTGATGAAGGTACCAAGCACACAACAGACACCAGGATGCGATTCCTACCGGTAATTGAAGAACGTGGTAGAAACAAGACATTTGTTGATGCGAGGGGGGCCTGGCTGTGTACTTGAAAAAGTAGCTTTTTGTGGAGAGTTACTAAAGCGATTAACCATGCAAGGCTGCCCTCCCTATGTTGAAGGGTGAAGTACTTTACTGCAGGCTCGCCCTGCTCTCAGCTCTTCCCTGGGGATGCTCTCACAGACCCAATAACAGGCTATACCCTTCACCTGAACCTTTGCCATTAGGCTTTAAGGGGTTCATGTGTTCAATCTGTCTCCACCAATACTGGTTGAACCTCTCATGAGAAGGAAATGGAGGAAAGTAATCTTCCAGATAGCTGAGTGCTTCAGGGGACTGCTCACAGATCCTTTGCTCCCTTCCTGCTCTGTGCAAAAACTCATCCCTGGAAGTCTCAGAAATGGCTCTTGGTGCTGAGGTAAGGTGATGGAGAGAGAGAGCTGGACATTGCTTAACAGGTAAGAGTGGGAAATGATGATGGAGACTGGAAATTGAATTGAATTTCTAGTTAGGGTATGCAAAGATGAAATGGCACCTCTTTATGCAAACAGCTAATTGGGCCTAGGCTGTGTTGAAGATGCTGTCGTCTGCACCTCTTGCTGCAGGTGACCCTGCCTTAGATTTGTTTTGCATGACGAGCCTGATAGTACTGTTTCCACTTCATTTCCATTTTGTTTATAGGAGGTGATTAGACAGGAAAAAGAATTGCTGATGAGATATTCTGGCCTTCAGATCAGCCTGATGCGACTGCCTGGCCCTCCTTTCCCGGGTGGTGTTGACGGAGTCCTCTCACAAGGGGATGAAGTACCTTGGCCTTGTGTAAGCATGTTCAGGCAGTGCTTGAGCATGAAGTAGGTGCTGCTGGTGAGAGGCATTTAACAAGCGGCGCGGTGCTTCCAGCGGCACTTGTGCCCTTCTGGAAGGGGCAATGCTAGTTAGAAAATTCCCGAGAGGTGACTGAAGTGTTCGAAGCTAATTTAATCTGCCTGGAGCCTAATTTGATTGTCTCAAGATCTCAGTAGGCAATTTCATGAGAAAGCATCCTTACTCCGGGCATAACTGACTCATTTTTCTCTCCTATGATATTGGGAAGTTCTGGCGTATCTGGTGTGATATAATTAGTTATTAAAACAATCCCTTCCTACTGAAGGGCAAGTGACACTAAATATTTAGCAGGCTAATAGTGTTTACCTGAAAACATCTGGTGCTGGGAAAGTGCTGAATAGCTTTTATTGATGCTGCTGCAGATGCACCATTTATTTCTCTGGTTGGAGTAGAGGCCAGAAGAGACTCTGGCTTGGATCCGAGTTGGGATATTAAGACACATGGAGCTTTGTTCCCAGGATGTTTCTGATTTGTTTGTCTAAGTAAGCCAAACCTCAGGAAAGGGTTGCTTTTTGATTTTTGTGGGCTACTCTTCTGGCTGGGGTTGTCGAAGGCGGCAATCCATGATTTACAAGAAATATGTTCTGCTTCTAGGGATGGAAAAAGCACATTTCCCACATTTATTTCTCATTTTCTATTTCTATCAGAAAAGGAAAACGTATCCAGGAAGTGCTTTCTTAGAGAGGTTGGGTGTGGTAGAAGTGACTTCAAAGATACGACATGAACTGCTTGTTCTTCTCGCCTGACAGTTTGCTTAGCTGGTTGCCTTTCTTTTAAAAATATATGTATGCTGTCCTCTGTAAGGGAAGAGCTGAGCATGATTAAAGTGCAGTGAACATGGGAGCTAAAGAACAGGCTCCTGCAATGAAGCATCTGACAAAAAATGACCCGGTCTTTCAGCACATTCAAAACAAATCCTCCTATTGTTATCTGTTGCCTTTCTTGAGTGTTTAGTGGTGGTCTGGGCCTGAGATACTGATGGCTTGGGACAGGCATACAACTGACTCCTCATCGCGTTGGTTAAGTGTCTTTGTTGTGGTTTAACCCCAGCTGGCAACTAAGCACCATGCAGCCGCTTGCTCATCCTTCCTCCCCTCCCTGGTGGGATGGGGGAGAGAATCGGAAGGGCAAAAGTAAGAAAACTTGTGGGTTGAGATAAGAACAGTTTAATAATTGAAAAAAAATATACAATGAAAAGGAAAACAACAACAACAACTACTAAAAAACCCCAAACCCTAGGAAAACAAGTGATGCAACTGCTCACCTCCTGCTGTTCGACGCCCATCCCATCCCCAAGCAGCAATCGCTGCCCCCTGGCCAACTCCCCCTGGTTTATATACTGGGCACGATGTCATATGGAACAGCCCTTTGGCCAGTTGGGATATTAAGACACATGGAGCTTTGTTCCCAGGATATTTCTGATTCGTTTGTCTAAGTAAGCCAAACCTCAGGAAAGGGTTGCTTTTTGATTTTTGTGGGCTACTCATCTGGCTGGGGTTGTAGAAGGTGGCAATCCACGATTTACAAGAAATGTGCCTGTGTTTAGAAAGGCAAGCGGCACACTTGCTGGTCAGGGTACCTTTCAGGCAGCATCCCACCTCCCTTCTCTGCTGCCCTCAGGGCTGCAGCGAGGGCTCGCCTGGCAGCATTTTGCTATTTTGAGAGGAAGTCTCTCTTAGCATCTCTGAATTTCTTCTAGAAGATGAAATACTAATTTGTGAGGAGAAAGGATTAGTTTGCTCAAGGGATGGACTGATGATATTCCTGCCTCTAAACAAGGCGGAACTAGCTCGTAAATGAAGTGGTTCCTGACAGGTGGCCTTGCTATCTGGGAATGCTCATCTGTACACAAAGCCCATATGGGTGGCTCTCTTTCCAGGCAAAATTTCCTGAGTGTTTCTAGCTAGTAGACCAGGGTCTAATTTTACTGTATTTCTTTAGATCCAATCACTGTTAGTAAAAAACTGAAGGCAGCACGAGTGAAATTGGGAACCGCACTAGTGTGGAGATGCTACACCAGACGTTGTCTTTCTTCAAATAGTTGGATTTGGGGGTTGGTTCAGGCACCTATCTTGGTCTTGCCGGAGAAAGGTAATATATCTTGGGCTGTGTTTGTTTAGCGTGTATTTGTTTTCAGCTCTTGTGATTAAGAGGCTGACTCAATAAGTCTTTGTTTTACCTGGTAAACCTTACTCTTAGCTCTGAAAACTCGATCTAGGCTGTTTTGAGAAAGTGGTTGCTCCACTAACCAACCTATACTTCACACGTGGTTTTTCTATTAGTTTCTGGTAAAATTTCTCCCTTCCACTGTGCCAGTCAGAGAACCTGAGGGACGGATGACTAAGGTGGTGCTTTAGGCTTAGGAGGGGGAGCAGACAATTGAAAGAAGTTGCCCATTGCTTCTGCAAATGTGTCTGGGCTGCAAGTCAGACTGTGAAGAGTCTGAGTGAAATGTTCTTCATGTGGATGTAGCACAGAGGTACTTTTGGATGCGTTTAATGAAAGCTTGTAGGTTTGTTCAGACAGTCTCAGTCACATATGTGACCTTTTGGTACCACAGTAGGTATCATTTGGTACCGTGGTAAGGTTGTGGTACCAAATGCTGTGTGTGGGCTGCCTGTGGCTGGTTTTTAGACACCAAATAAAAGATCTCTTCTGCAGTGCTGAGCCATTTCCATCAGCTCGACCTGGGAGAGAGGTAGAAGTTGGATCATTTCAGTCTGTGGCTCCTTGGGACAGCCTTCAGTCATTACTCATGTGGCTCTTGAGGCCTTTCTGGGAAGGCCCAGACCTGGCCTCTAAGCTTCAAACTCAGGCTTACCATAAAAGAGGACTGGGACTACCTAAACACTGCTGTTTGTGGCCAGCCAATAAACCCTGCGGAGCTGAGCAGGTACGTCTTGTTATTATCTTCAGGCAGACCATAGGTCCTTGCCCAAGGACTTTCACTTCACTAAAAACAGCCCAGTAAGTGATGCCAAGAAGAAGAATTGGAAATTTGAGGTCACAGCAATGAAAGATCTCAGGAGATGCTTATGTGGTGCTACTATGACCTTGTCCTTTGCACTGTGCTGCAGTTGGGCACACTGTGTAGGAGTAAGAACAGGGTTGCCAGTG